GGGGGTTGGAGATTCATGATCCTTGAGGTCCCTTCCAACCCTGGCAATTCTGTGATTCTGTGTAATTCTGTGATACCTTAAGTTTCTGAAGGAGAGCTGATCTTTGTTGCTGGGTAGATAACTTGAGACGGAATGGGCTGGCTGTCTGAGGAGTGTCCTCTGCTATTTTGTGACTTATGTCTCTCTATGGAACGCTCTGAGTGCAGAGAGAGAAGAAATGGGAGGTAAACATTTCCAGATGCGAGGGGATTGTATGGGAACAACTCATTGCTCCCATCAGCGGCCACGGCCACCGTTAGGAAATATACAGAAGTGCTTCAAACAGAACTTGGTGGTGGTGGGAACACCAGTCTGACTCCAGGACATCTGTGTGCATAACTCAGCCTGGTGTCATCCTTTGGCAAAAGATCTGGGCTGGGTGACAGCTAACTGCCATGAGCAGTAAGGTGATTTTGGAGTCATTTAAAGCGTTCTTTTCACTAGGAAATTTCCATAATCCTAGCAATGAATTTCTTCCTCCCACTGACCTCAGGTGGATGAAGGTCCCATTCTGAAGCCAGGCTTGCTGGCTTTTGTACCTACACATAACTCAGAGAAAGAAAAAAAAAGAGCAGTTGTTTTTGTTCACAGGTCACAGTAATCTGATTTTCTTACCCATAGTTCTGTTGGAGCTTGAACAATAAGCAGGACTGAAGCATTTTAGTGACCATACAGTAATAAAAATAAGGAACAAAATGTATTTCTAATATTGCTAGGTAATATATGAGCAGTTCCAACTGGACTTAGCAAACAGTATCTTACTTTGTAGTTGCTTTAAACTCTTTGTATATCTGAGTGAATTTCCAAATACTCAGCCAACACACTTGCTGTAGTTTGGAGGATTTATGCCCTGGCTTTATTTTCCCCCGTTTCATCAGTGGGTGGGAACAGTCTGACTGCATGGGTTAGAAAGCACCAAAGCTGCTCCCGGACTCGTCAGGTTGTTACAATGACAAATGGAGCAATGGTAAAACCCCCGCAAGGCAGCCTGATGATCTCCATCACACCCTCCTCTCCCTAGTTAGTGTTAACTTTGATGGCTCTGTGTGGCTGGAAATTCGCTTTGGCCTTCGCCTGTGATTGAATTATTTTGAGAAGCTGGAGTGCGAAGAAGATGGTGCACTGCAGGAGGAATGATTGCAGAGCAGCTGCGCCCAGTTATCTCTTTCCTCAGTCGCTCGGTGCCTGCACACACGGTTTCTGGCTGGTGGCATTCACCCTTGCTGACAGCTCAGGTGCTGACCCACAGGACTGGGTTTCGCCCCTTGGAGGTGCAGTGAGCAGGTGCAGCAGGTTGCTGGCCTTTAGTCGGCTCATCCGTGTGAAAAAGTGGCCGTGGTTTCTCTGGGTCTGATAGATACTTACTTTGTTTAACGAGATTGGTGCAGAGTCTCAATTTTTTCTATTACCCTTCTTACCCAAAGCAGAACTGCGTTCTAAAGGCTGAAATGCCTCCACTGGAGCTCCTGCAGGTAGAGCTCCTGGTGGTAAGACGCTCATCCAACTGGAGAGTTCCTATCTCATAACAGCTTTCAGGAAAAGCAGGTTCCAGAGATGTATCCACCCTCGGTGAGAGCAGACACTGCTGCTGTCAGGACAATCTTGCTTTGCTGTGGCTGTTGATAAGACCGTTCCTGAAGCGCAGCATCTCCTTTGGCTCTTATCACAGACGTGTCCATGGTGTTGTGTGCACCATCCTCCCTGCACAGGATTTTCACCACTTCAATCTGACCTCCTACAACGCAGCCCCTCTGCTTTCTCTTATCACTCAAGCTCCTTGAAGCTGTCCCTGTCTGCTGTCTCCAGTATCATGCTGCTCCCAGCCTGTGTTGCAATTATAGATATGCAGCCCTGGGATGACCTCGTTACTCTGCCTTGCTTTTACCTTCTATGTTTGCAGGCAGGTATTTAAGCTGCACTAAAGAACAATCAGCTTTAAGCTGGCTGCTGCTGATGGTGTTATCTAGTGGGGAATTAATGTCTCCAGTACTGTTTGCCAGTCAAAATTACACATTTCCCTATTCACATTGTGTGGGGTCTTCAAAAAGACAAATGAAATTTACTGTCACCTCCTTCTTCTCCTAGATCCCTCACTCACCCATCAGGTCTTTGTGTTCTTAAACGCCACGGGGCCATTCCCACACTGGTGCTGCAACAAGCCTTCAGCACACAGATTTGTGCTGTGATTCTGTTGCAGTGCATCACTGTGACGTTGCCACCCCGTGCTGCTGGAGCTGCAGGCTGCCGTGGGGCTGCTGCTCGCTGATTGACTCTTGCAACCAGATAAATAAACCTCGGAAAAGCTAAGGAGGAGTAAAGTGAAATAGACGTGTTATAAGAAAGAAACTAGGTAAAGGAAAATGCTTTTTCCTGAATCTTCCCAGCACCATTTACTGAGTCTTTTGCAGGAGAGTGGGCTGTAAACTCAGATTAAAGCACTTTACTGAAAAAAGTCGCCTGACTTTACAGTTTCTCTTTCCGAGCAAGCCGACATAAAGAATTTCCTGAGAGATTAACTCTGCCTGCCCTTCATGAGGAAGCATAGCTTTGAGGTGAGCAAGTGCTGATTTCAGGTTTGCAGCAAAAAGTACAGAACAGTTCAGACCTCCTGGAACAGAATAATTACTATCCTTTTGAGCTTGGTGCTAACAGACATGCAGTCGTTGCCAGTCAGGGTTGATCAGCCCTTGTTCCTGGTGAGGACACTGAATCAGAGCACCGTGGTGGCATTGCTTGTCCTGTGTGCAGAGGTGGATGTGACTCGTGTGAATGGGGCCATTGCTCTGGGCGCAGCCTCTAAATGCAAAAGAGCATCACCATTGTGCATCCACGTATGCAAGAGCATCCAAGTACCACTGCCTGCTCCAGCTGGGATATTTTGAGCAATAAGCACTTGCTTAAATATCTCCCCCCACCACATGGTTTGTTTTTTTGCCTTCATATACCTGCTATCATTAAACAAAGTACTTTTTTCCAGATGCTCTCACGTTTGGGTCTTTTCTTTGCCATTGAACATGTGTCCCAAAGCTGGACTGAAGCCCACAGTGCCTGAGTACCCAGTGCTCTGAGACAGAACTTCATTGGGCAGTGAGCCCTGATCCTGTGGAATGTATTAGGGGATGGTGCACCATCATTCTGCAACCTTTCTGCAGAAATGAGTTCATGTTTTGGAGAAGGAACGCAGCCGAGGGCACTCTGTAGACACTGTTCTGCTCAGAAAATTATACCCTTTTCACCCATGGTTGTTTGAGATTTTGTTCTCCTGCTGTGTTCCTTTTGTAATTGCCAATTAAACAGATATCCAAGAGTCAATTCATCACCACTCTAACTTCAGGCAGGCGAAAGTGGGTTAGCATTTAGCAATGCAAATTTGTTTTAGGAACAGCAGACTTATTTAGTTCAGAGAAGAATTATTGAGGTGTATGTGGTAAGTTGGCTAATTCTGTCCTTGAGCATCATTTCCTGAGAAAGCAGCGACAGGATTTATAGCTAATTCGGTTAAATAATAAATGATATCTTCTCCTGCTGCAAAGTTGTCAGCGTTTCCAATCTACAAACTTCTGAGGCTGTGAATGGCGGAGCTCTTGGCGGTAGTCGACATGTGGTCAGATCTTTACAGCTGCAGGTTATTTTTTGGTCTGAGTTGGGAGCAGAGCACCTTTCCCACCGACAGCAGCCATCTCCAGGGCCACCCCACAAGGAGGTGAGGATGGCAAAGTACCCCATGTGTTCTCATGGCTGGAGGGGGCACCAACACAAACCTGTGAGAAGGAGTTTGCCAGTGAGTTTGCTGCTTGCTGCTCCAGGTCTTGGTGCCCAGGAGAGCACTGCTAAACCTCTGCCTTGTGACTTCTTCAATAGGACCGGAGGTGATGGCTTTAAGATGCACCAGAGGGCTTTCAGGTTGGTTATTAGGGGGAAAAAAATCTCATTCTTCCGATACCTGGTAAGGCACTGGCACAGCTGCCCAGAGAGAAGGTGGAGGCACCATCCCTGGAGATGTTCAAGAAACACGGAGATGTGCATTGAGTGACGTGATTCAGTAATGTGGTGGGGATGTGTTGGTGTTTGGACTTGATGATCTTAGTGATCTTTCCAACCTTAATGATTCTGTGATTCCATGATTCCTTTGTGTGCTGCAGCTCTGCCAAGCAGGCACTGTGAGCTGTCCCGTATGGCCAGGCAGATGGATCCTGTACGTCACCACCTCCCTGCCAAAGCAAAGGCACAACATTAAGGTTACACAGCCCTTATGTGTTTAAACAGTTGGCAGCTGAAGCAAAATGTGCCGTGTTATGTTTGTTAGCTGCTGTTTTGCGTTTCTGTCCAGTCTGGTGTTGGAGAAGATGGAATGCAGGTGTTACTGCGGAGTCTGTCACTAAGCCCAGCCCAGGCCCTTTCTGTGTGTGTTAAACATCCCTTAGTGAGCATCCTGAACATATGGCAGGCAGAATGCTCCTCCATTTATTTTATGTAATTAAATTTTAGGATGCAGCTCGCAAGCTCTTTCTCTTTGGGCTTGCTTTGGGTTAATTAACCCAATTAGTTGCAAACAGCCAGTGTCTCTGCACCCGGGAGCAATGTGGCTGTCCCTGCTGCTGCTGGAGACCCCAGAAATCCCCGTGCAGTGTATTGGCCCTGCCTGCAGGACAGGTCCTGCAGAACCAGCTGGAGACCCTCTGAGATCCCATGTGGGAACAGGTCTTGGTTTCACATCACTTTGCCCCTTCCTCACACTGTGTGTTGCTGTTTACAGATGATGGGAAGCTGTCCCTGGAGGAGTTCCAGGCCTTTTTTTCTGATGGGACGCTCAACGAGGAGGAACTCGAGAAGCTCTTCCACACCATCGACTCAGACAACACAAAGTAAGTTCCCCCCCATCCCACAGAGCTGGGGCAATGTGTTTGGGTGCCCCAGAGGGGATGCAGGCATGCAGTCCCTTTTGCCAAACATTGCAAAGTCTCCATTTCTGCTGGGTCTGTGTCTTGTCATGGTGGCTCCTTTTCTCTTTGTGTTTTTTGTTGTTTGTTTTTGTTTTCCAGGCTGTTTTCTTTCATGCAGTTTGATCTCTGTGATATCTGAAGTGATGCTTAGTGTTACCTGGAGGACATTTAAATGGCCCTTTTGCTTTTCCATTCCATTTAAAAGCCTTGCTGCACTGTAAAAGGTAACAGTGTGAATCTGCGAGCTCCACCCTGCCCATCTATCTTGCCCACAGCAAATAGAGAGGATTTAGGACCTGCACTGCTTTCTTTACCTCCCAGCCCTGCAGTCCTCACTGTGGGCACCTTGCCCTGTTCTGGGCCTACGTGGCCATACTTCTGTCTGCACAGAGCCCAGACATGGGGATGAATCCCACAGCAATACAACACTTACTGTCCCACAGGGACATGATGGGTGGGAGGCAGCAAAGTGTGCTTTGGTTTCACAGTGCACCAAAGATGAGGCTCAGTGAGGCACCTGGCTGCCCCCACTGTGCACAGAGATGCAGCCTGCTGGGTTATTTCTTTTTCCAAGAGGAATCATACTTCAAAAGCCTGCATTGATGAGGCTGCTCAGAAATCCAAATGAAAGCCAATACTGAGTCATATTCCAGAGAGACAACTATTCCTCCAGAGAAAATCCACCCAAAGTAAAGAAGATGAAAAGAGAATCTTATTTCAAATGAGTGCAGCAAGCACTTGGAAAAATAATAGCATGGTTAATTGCAGAGCCCATAGGTGAACGAAGCCTAGCAGGTGAGCGAAGCCTCCAGACCCTGCCTTACCTGTGTGTGTAGTGGCCACCAAGCTCAGCAGTGCCCGACACCCGTGTGATACATACTACTCATCAGCTAATTAGAGAAACTTCAGGGGCTTTGTCACTAACGTGGGCTGGGAATGACTCGTCTATTCCAAAGCTTCCTCTTCAGCTGATGCTGTGAGAGCAGCCGAGTGCCTTGGATTTTGGTGTAAAAAAATAACACTAGAGCCATGAGATTTGGAAGTGTGAGCCATCAATAACATTTACTATCATAAAGGTGAATGAGGCATGCTGCCTCCTTCTCTGTGTGCCTGTTTATCCAGGTGATATCCATAGCATCACCTAGGCATGCCTGTTTGCATTTGGCTTAGAAAGAATGTGGGCTCCTAAGCTGAGGCATGTGAGGACAATATGAAGTTTATCTTTCCAAAAGGCCATTTGAATTTGAATTATTTGTTATTTGAAAGAGGAATTTAATTCATCTTTAACGCTGTTTTTTAACTTCCCCCATCTCATACTGCTCATTGAGTTTTCTTGGTGTACAGAGAAAAGTTTGCCATGAAAACTACCTTACAGCTAGAGTGGAAAATGAAGAAAGTTATGTTCCTACTGATTGTTAGTAATTGCTATCGCCACTTAAATTGCAAAATGTGGACTTGATTTCCTGGAGCAGTTCTGGGAGCAGGAGAACTGTCTTACTTGTGTAGACAAAATGCATATCTGTGCTAGTGTCTTTACTTGGTTTGGTTGAGAAGGGTGTGGAAAGCAGAATAGTTGGGCAGGTGGGTGGAAGATGGGGTTGGCCTATAATGCAGGAGCAGCCATGGCTCAGAGAGAGGTAGTTCCTTCGGGAGCACAGCACCCAGCACAACACCTGGTTGTCAGCAGGGTGCAGTTAGGAGAGCGCAGAACCAAAATGAGACACCCAAAAGCAGCCAAGGGATTTGTGGGACTTCATTCTTCCTGATGGCCTTGGAAAAGTCTCCAGGAGATCAGTGATGTGGCTGGATGGGCCTGAGTGAGGAGCATGGCTTTGTGTAGATGCAGTTATGGGATGGCACCATATTCCATGATCCTACTCCAGGGTCAGTTCTTGGCTCAAAATACAGCAATATTGCTATTGCATTCTTGGTGTGTAGTGTTGGCAGAGGTAGAAAAATTCCCTATCTGCAGCAAAGCCCTCCTGCTGTCCTCATCCATGCTGGTTATTGCATCTGGCAGTAGGAACAGCAAAATCTGTCACATACTTCAATTGCTTTTGGCAACTTATATTCAGAATCCTGCTGTTGCTGAAAAGAGATGATCAAGTGGTGTTTTCCTCTCCGTGGTGAACACTCCCTTCAGCCTTCCTTCTTCCCATTCAAAGTAGGAGGCAAAGCAAGACGCTGCCAGGGATTGATTTGTCACTTGTGGTGTTGGCTGCTCACCCAGGCTTTGGCAGTGCTTTGTGGGGAATTGCCTGAAAACTAATGGGATGGTAATGATACGTTACCACTGATATCAATGTCATCAGAAATGCACAAATTATGTGTATAATGCACAAGCACATATGCACACACATTTAAATATATATATTCATATAGATCTTTGATTTAGCTGCAGAACAAGGCTTTAGAAATCATTCTCACCTGGGAAATGCTGCGCTATTTGCATTTGTTTACTCCTCCTGATGTTCCCTGAGCTGCGGGGCAGCTGTAGGGCACAGCCTCCAGAACTACAGTGTGCCCGTATGCATTGCACACCCAAGGAAAGCAGCAGCCTCTTACCAACGTGGGGCTGGGGACAGCTGTGCAAGCCAGGCAGGTGCCCAGGCACTGGGAGTGAGTTCATGCAGCACAGAGCTCCTCTGATATCAGATCTTCTGAAAATACTACCGTGCCCTGCAGCCAGCTTGTAACTCTCCTGGCCGCCATTGCCCCACTGCAGCCCTGTGGTGCAACCCAAGGATCAGACTCCATTAGTACCTCACTGCTCCAGGCGAGGTCTCCAGCACAGAGCAGAGGGGCACATCCCCTCCCTGCCCTGCTGGCTGCACTGCTTTGGGTGCAGCCCAGGATACGGTTGGCTGTGTGGCTGTGAGGGCAGACTGCTGCCTCATGTCCAGCTGCCACCCACCAGCACCCCGAGGTCCTTTTCAGCAGGGCTGTGCTCCATCCTTACATCTTCCAGCTTGTACTAATAGTGGGGGTTGCCACAACCCAGGTGTAGACCTTGCACTTGCCTTTGTTGAACCTCATGAGGTTCTCCTGGGCCCACTCTCAAGCCTGTCTATGTCTCTCTGGATGGCATCCTGTCTCTCAGGTGCATCAGCTGCACCACACAGCTTGGTGTTGTCCATGAACTTGCTAAGGGTGCTTGATGCCACTATCAATGTGACTGCTGAAGATATTAAAGGACATCACTCCCCTGAGGGACACCTAATCCTGTCCTAACACTAAGTGTCTCATTGTATTTGTATGTACCCTGGGGCTCTTCCATGCCATAAAACCATTCCTGGAGGGAGGAGGGAGATGTGGGGGTCTGACCTGGTGGTGGGCTAGCAGTGCTCCATGGACTTCCATCAGCAGGGCTGTGTCCCCACAGTGATGCTCATCCCTTGTGGCAGAAGAGGAGAGGTCAGGTGTGGCTGTTAACCAAACTAATTTAGCCCTAGCAGGGGATTTTAACAATTCCTTTTGTATCACATACATTTTTCATAGCTGCAGAGGAGAGTCTTTGGGAAGAGATGTGTGCACTGGAGCAGGACTCCTCCGATGAGCTGTACATGTCCATTCACAGGGAGCCAGAACACAGCATTAGCATTCTGCTGCACTACCATTCATTATCTCCTAGCTAGGCTTACAGCTATTCTTTTAATTGCTTTATCCTCTTCACCCTCTCTAAATGAGCTCTTCTCTCCAGTGGCAAGCACTAGAAAAGCTGGGAGCGTGCACGCTGTATAATTAACAGAAGCAGTACTACTTCTCAGAAGCCTTTAGCAGCTTCCCCAGCCTTCTACTTTTTCTGGAGGACTGTGACAAATGCAAGAACAACAGTGCTTGGGCTTTGTCTACACCGAATCCTGCAGCATGCAGCCTTGTGGTGCAGGGCTGTGCCAAGGCCCCCTTAGATGTGCCCAGCTTTATTGGGCACAGCAGCTCCACAGCTGCTTGCAGGCTGCTTGCAGCAGAGCAAACAAGATGAGACACATCTGTATTTTGCGCAATTTAAATTGTGCAGAAGCTGTTAGGATGGTGTTAGTGCTAATGAGCAGAAGTGAGATGCCATGTGCGGCTGTGACATGGAGCTAATTGCTGTGCTGTGTGCAGCCAGAAGCTCCCAGACCAGAATAATTGCTTGTGTGGATGAGTTCTGCTTCTTTGATAGTTTGATTGCACTGATAACCAAAGATCAAAATAGTTTTAAGTTGGAGTCTGTGCAAGCATGTAGGACTGTGAAGCTTAGTGTTCTACAATAATCCAAGAAGACAGGGAGGAGTAAGGTGCTGCTGGGAATCTGAGCTGCTGCTGGTCTCCAGGAGAGGGGTGTCCAAAAACCATTTGGGGATGTATATGAGAAATAAGGCATCCTGGTGAAAATGGAGATGAAGGCAAAGGAGTTCAAAACGTGTTCTGAATATTCATCACAGAACAGCTTGTAAAGAAGTTCATTGTGTTCAAACTGAAGTTATGCTTTTTGGTTCCACTGAGGGACAACCCAAGCAGAAATGGAACTTGGCATCAGCTCAAGGTCCATCCTCTCAAGAACACGAGGTTCCTTACAGACTGGAAGGAGCAGTCCTTGACAGGAGCCCTGCAGAGAAATCCCTGGAGGGTCCTGGTGGCTGAAAAATTCAACCTGAGCCAGCAGTGTGCTCTTCCAGCTCAGAGGGGTGGCCAGCAGGGACCAGGGAGGTGATTGTGCCTCTCTACTCTGCCCTCATGAGATCCCATCTGCAGTACTGTGTCCAGGTCTGGTGCCCCCAGTGCAAGAAAGACAGGGAGCTGTTGGAGAGGATTCACATGAGGGCCACAAAGATGATCAGAGAGCTGAAGCACCACCCTACGAATACAGGCTGAGGGAGCTGGGCTTGTTCAGCCTGGAGAAAAGAAGGCTCCCTGAAGGGAGCCTACAAACAGGAGGG